AGCGATAGCCTCCAACCTGGTAGCGATGGCCTCCAGCCTAATATAGCGATGGCCTCCAGCCTAATATAGTGATGGCCTCCAACCTAGCGATGGCCTCCTGAAAAAATCCAAGAAACTTTTTGCCAAGAGAAGCTGAAAGCTTTCACTTCCAAGGACCTGCCACGATTGGAAAGCTGGGAGGCCAACGAAAGGGTCTGAAAGAAACACGCGTCATCTGCAAACAAGAATGAAGTCATAATGATGAGATTTCTCTCTTCACCAAAAAAGAACAAAGAGGTAGTCTGTCAAGGATTCTTGTGTCACAACAAGCTCTTGTTGGTATGGCTAAGGAATGGCAGTCTTTAAATGACCTGAGGCCTGAGAGCTACTGCAGGTACTGCTACGTACATGCCCGTAGGGAATATCATTCTGAAGGAAGGACGTGCTTCAGAGTGCCTGGAGAATGTAGATCAAATAAACGCGATACCTGGCTGAAAGGCTTCACAAAAGTTTCGCATGAGCCATCACATTGGCTTCACGCTTTGCATGAAATGACAAATCCAACCGAACAAAACAAAAGGAACAAATGGCAGCAGTTGGGCCATTGCAAGCAAGCTACTGGTAAGCGCTTAGCTGTGGAAGCAGCAGAATCTGCAAACATTTTGTCAGCAGAAGGAAAGCTTTGTTCACACGCACGCCCAATCTCAGGCCTCACACTCGACGAAAATACTCGACGAAAGGCTCTGAAAGGCGGCACGAGCTTCTCTGGGGTTCTAACCAGGGGTATACCTACTAGCAATGGCCTCCAACCTACTAGCTCTGGGGCTCCAACAAATGCGGATTAGCCGCTTCACACCATTCTCTTCTTTTGCATCGCCTCCTTTCATCCTACCTGCAGGTGCATGTAGATGCAACAGGTTGAACCATGGAGGCCATCGCTTTAGGTTGGAGGCCATCGGGTTGGAGGCCAACTGCTCTTAGCTTGGAGGCCATCGCAGGACACACAAAGCTCGGTCCTACTGAACTCCATGTGGTAGTGTGGGCTGCGCATTGGCCAGCTCAGGTTTGCACAACTCAGGTTTCTTGAGCCGCAATTCAAGGCGATGCAACAACAACAGTTTGGAGCTTGCTGTTGCAATGGCAACTTCGACAGCTTATGAAGTGCTTTAAACTCTTCTTCAACAACTTCTCCAAAACACATCGAAACCCTCCCTACCATGTTCTATGCAACACGATCCGCGGTCTTTTCTCTCAGAATCTGTGCTTTCGACCTTAAAACTGTGAAGGTGCCTTAAGGTGGAAAGTGGAAGACTCTGCAGACCTTCAAATCGAAGGTATTGTAAAGTCACGATCACTTCAGGTGATTCCTCTGCTCTGCTGAGCGCCTCTAAGAGCACTGCACTCACTGCACGCACAACATTACCCCAGCTGCTCCCGCTGCCGTCGCTGCCTCCATGGTCTTCATGCTTCATTCGGAACAAGAGAGCTGCCAAAGAGAGCTCCGAAGCATTTTCAGTTGTGAGACCATCCAAGACCATCTCAAGCATCGACTCATTCCAAATGGTTGTGATCTCCCGCTGTCTGCTGGAGGCAGCGGCAGGAAACAACAAGGCGGCTTGCCTCAGAAGTTCTTTTCAAGGATGAACATGTGAAATGTATGTCTCCGCGTCTGAAACTAATGCAACACCGGCTTTCGCCAATAACTTTCGCAAATGGTACAAACGCATTCTGTATGTGAACCATTGCAGAGCAGTCGACGAGGTTACAGTAGGGCAACAAGGACGCTCTTTCAAAGTTCTGCTAGACAGCCTTCTTCAGACCTATGTCACTTTAATCACCACGTGCGAAACAAAACCACATTCACAATCCTTCACGTTGATGCTCACAAGCAGAAGTGAAAGGATATTTCCAGCAAGCACGCAACAGCCAGAAGGCACTTTAAAGATCCTAAATCTTGCTAACTATTCTGATGACAAAAGGAATTAGTAACAAGAAGCTACTAGTAACAGGTGCATCGCTAGTAGTAGCAAGAGGCTACTAGTAGCTTTCTAGCTACTACAGTAGTAATGCGCTTGTTACTAGTAGCTTAAGACTTCTGTCAAGGTCACCAAGACTTCTGTGGAACGAATGCGAAAGAGGCGAGGTCGAACCCAGCAGCTCCACAGGCGGCGAGAACACGACAAAGCTGAGACGAGTCCATTGCCTCACGCTCTTTCCAAAGAAAGGGTCTCAAGAAGCTACTAGGAGCAGGGATGCTACTAGGAGCTCCTGGCCTTACTACTAGGAACAAGAAGCTACTAGGAGCAAAGGGCATCGCTACTAGAAACAAGAAGCTACTAGAAAAAGACTGGATAAAGAACAAGAAAGTTCTTGAAACTAACTATGCTGAATACATCTCTATTAGGTTGGAGGCCATGGCCATCGCTATTGGGTTGGAGGCCATCGAAAGAAGAAGAAAGATCAAACGTCTAAAGAAAGGAAACGTCCTAGCTAGCCTGTAGCTACTAATTAGTAATGCTCTTGTTACTAGAAGCGATGCACTTGTTCCTAGTAGCTTCTTGTTACTACTAGTAAGGCACTTGTTACTACTAGTAATGCACTAAGAAAACTAGTTAAAGAACTAAGAAAACGTCGCTTGATAACAAACATAATCACTCCATTGCCTCGCGGCGCTCGTTTGGGCCGATCTCGTCCGCTTCGACCCGCGAGTCGGCGAAAAATGGATCAAAGTCCGAAAAGGCTCCAAAAGCACCTGAGCTTCGCTTGTTTCTACTAGTCAGGCACTTGTTCCTAGTAGAAAAGCACCTGAGCTTCGCAGGAGTTTCGTTTTGTACTTACTTGAGAAAAGGGGGGTGGACGAAAGGTTGGTCGGCAGCAGCTGCAGCAGGAGAAGTCTGCTCCTAAGCTAAAGCTTATCAAACTCAAGGTTGCCTAGCAACCTTTCGTGAAATGTAACACACCCTTACTTAATCAAGTAGGGGCGCCTACTTCATCAAGTAAGGGCGACCAGTTGGCTTCTATAGTAAAGGTCACGGTTGTATTCGGAAACTCCACGGTTGTATTCGGAAACTCGGCGGTTGTATTCGGAAACTGGAACGGTTGTATTCGGAAACTGGAACGGTTGTATTCGGAAACTGGGATTCGGAAACTGCGCGGTTGTATTCGGAAACTGGTATTCGGAAACTGAAGCGGTTGTATTCGGAAACTGGAAGGGTGGTATTCGGAAACTGTACGGTTGTATTTGGAAACTAGTATTCGGAAACTACACGGTTGTATTCGGAAACTGGTATTCGGAAACTGAGACGGTTGTATTCGGAAACTCCACGGTTGTATTCGGAAACTCATATTCGGAAACTCGACGGCTGTATTCGGAAACTGCGGGGCCGGAATCTTTCTCCAGTGCGTGTATCTCGATGGCAATGCCGCAATGCCAGGAAAACTGCTCTGAACGGATTTTCTCACAAGCGCCCCAACACCCCCCACACCCCACCCGCCCTCCATGGTACGCAACTATCC